CATGGTGTGCACAATTGGACCATGGTGAGTCACATTATCTCAGAATCTCAACTTACACAAACAAGAGTTTTCTGATTGATAACACCCAAATGCAAGATCTGGAGAGTTGTTCAGGGATGTTTGGGTTTGATGGCAAGAACACTTTTCAGGACCTATGATCTGTTCAATTAAGTGGGCATCATCCTTGTTAGACTAGAGAGAAGTATAATAAGTAGAAATAGTAACATTTACTTTCTATAAGATGCAGTAGGGACAATAGAACTTCAGTTAATTAACACAAAGGGTAGAACTGGTTCAAAGAGCCAGGAGACTAGACTCAGAATGTCAGCTGAGATACCAGGAGTTCCAAGTGGGCATGTTTTCTGGACAGCTTATCCCGGAAGAGAAGCCTAGTTTACTTTTCTTTACCAACTCTTTTTGTTTCCTGCTATCTCATACACTGCAGCTCTAAGCTTTGTACTTTAATTTGTTCTTGTTATTTTGGGGTGCGTATGTGTGCATGTGTGTTTGTGTATATTTGTACATGTATGTATGTGTGTGCCTATGTGTGTGTGTTTGTGTGTGCATGTGTATGTGTGTGTGCTTGCATGCATTCGTGTATGTGCATTTGTGTGTGTCTTTGTGTGCGTGTGTGTCTGTGTATGTGTGCATGTGTCCTTGAGTGTGCGGTTGTGTGCATGTGTTTGTGGTATGTGTGTTTGTGTGTGTGTGTGTACAGATTCATATGGAGGCCGGAAGTTAATGTTGCTTGTTTTTCTTGATCTCTCTTCCCTTACTTTTTGAGGCAGGGTCTCTCACTGAACTTGGAGCTCACCAATTCAGTTAGAAAAGCTGTCCAGACAGCCTCAGGGACCCTCCTGTTCCTGCTTCCCCAGTGTTGGGATTACAGGCAAATCTGATACTTCTGGCTTTTTCAGTGTGGGTTCTGGGGATCAAACTCAGGTCCTCATGCTTTCATGGCAAGCACTTTATTGACCTAGCCATCTCTCCAGCCCCATTACCTCAATTCTTTTTAAATTAAATTAAAATTTTACATTGATTGTTTTGGGACAGGGTTCTACTATATATTCCTGGCTGGCCTGGAACCCATAAATACCTGGCCTGCCTCTCTTCTGAGTGCTGGGATTAAAGGCATGTGCCACCATACCCTTCCTTCCTTCCTTCCTCCCTCCCTCCCTCCCTCCCTCCCTTTGTATTCCTGGCTGGCCTGGAACCCATAAATACCTGGCCTGCCTCTCTCCCTCCCTCCCTCCCTCCCTCCCTTCCATGTGTGTGTATGAGTAACTGTGTATGTATGTTGGTGCACATGTGTCAAGGCACCCATATGAAACTCAGAGGACAACTTGTGAGAGTCTGTTCTTTCACTCTATCATGTGGGTCCTGGTGATTGAACTCAGGTCTACAGGCTTGGTGGCAAGTTCCTTTACCTGCTGAGCATTCTTGCTGGCCTTGTCTCAATTCTTACAGCCTGTGTGTGAGGCATGTATAACGATCCCCATTTGACAGGGGAGTCAGTTCCATGAAGTGACCAGGAGCATACAAGTTGATGGGCAGGACTCAGAAGCTGAGCAGCTTTGTCTCCGTTTCTGTTCTTTCCAGTGCCCCACAATGTCCTACTTGTTCAAGAAGCTTCTCTGTGTGATAATACAGGAGAATGCTCTAAAATCTCTATTTGTTGACTGAAAAAATGTGAAAATGGGCTCAAATATTAATAAGGAAGATTTACATTACAGAGAATATTTTGATTACCCCAATTATGGCATTAAAATAGTAATTGAAAAAAATAAATGCTGAGTGTCATATAAGTGAGAAATTTTGTGAAGGGGGCAAGTACAGCCAAGCTCCTGTTTCAATTATGAAGACTCAGTGAAACTCAGACAGACCTGAATGAGCGAGCTGTGTTCAGCAGGGGAGACCTGACCTCACTTCTTAGTGTCCTCACTGGGTCATCAGGCCTCGGGATCTGAGATCTCCTTAGTGGGCTATTGATAGCCTTTGCTCATATTGTGAACACTGTGACTAGAAGACTGGGTGACAATCTCAGTGGTGTTTGAAATGAGCAAACAGTTGTGCTGTCTGCATAGCACACTTTTGTATAAGTAAGCCCTATCTTTGTAGAAGTTTAGCTGAAAGATAAGACCAGTGTATATGTTAAGGGACATCTTGTAGTAAAATCCTAGAGTCCGTGGAGCTGGAGAGATAGCTCATGATTTACACTGACTACCCCTGCAGAAGTTTAGTTCCCAGCATCCACATGATTGCTAACCAGTAGGCAAAATAATCACATAAAAAATTGTGAATGACAAATCTATTTTGTCTGATTTTCCTTTCCCTTTTAAAGACATTTTCACTATTACATTTATGTGTGTGCTCATGTATATGTGTGTGGTGTACACATGTGTGTATGGCATTTGTGAGGTCAGAGGAGAACTTGCATGAGTCAGTTCTCTCCTACTGTGTGGGTCCTAGGGATTGAACCCAAGTCCTCAGGGCTGGCAGCAAGCACCTTTACCTGCTGAGCTTCCTTGCCTGTGCTGTGTTATATCCATTTTAGTCATTTAGCCATTTTAATGGACTTTGAGTGCTTTGGGTATATAAACTGTGTCTTAATCTTTTCTTCCTAGAATCTGATATATGTAAAGTTTGGACCATGATATGTGGGGCTGCATTATGACTTCTATCCTGAACTTGTGCCTTTGTAGGGTTCTTCCTCATTAAAAAGAGTATTTTATGATCATATCAATTAAAGGTAAATAGACTATTATGCAAATGGTACTCAGCAGCAGTGGGTTTCCCTTCCATGGATTCAACCAGGGGCAAACTGAAATAACTTTCAAAAATTGTGTCTATGTGGGGCTGGAGAATTAGCTCAGTGGTTAAGAGCACTGACTGCCCTTGCAGAGGACCCGAGTTCAAGAGCACTGACTGCTCTTGCAGAGGACCCAGGTTCGATTCCCAGCACCCACCTGTTGGCTAACAGCTGTCTGTAACTCCAGTTCCAGGGGATCTGACACCTTCTTCTGACTTCTGAGGATGTTGCATACATGGGTACATTTACACATATGCAGGCAATACACTCCCACACATAAAATAAAAATAATAAATACAATATTTTAAAAAATTGTACCTATGTTGAACATGAGTAGACTTTTTCTTTGTTATTTGCTAAACAATACAGTGTAACAAACAGTAACTTAGCATTTGCATTGCACTAGGTGTTATCAGTGATCTAGAGACTAAAGTGTACAGGAGGGTATACAGAGATTTTATTCAAATCCTACAGCACTTCATGTAAGGGGCATGAGCACATGGAGTTGAGTATCCCAGGGAAGTCCTAAAACCAATCCCCAAGACAAGGAGGGATGCATGTTTGTTTTTCCTTCTGATTTTAAAATAAATTAAAACATTTTCCTAAGTTCTTATAAATATTATGGCCCCAGGGGCTATATTTACCTTTCCTATCATTTTAGTCCATTTTCTGATACTATAACAAAATACCACAGCCTGGATAATTTATTGAGAATAGAGGTTTATTTGGCTCATAGTTCTCCAGGCTGGGAAGTCCAATGCTATAGCATTGATAAGTTGGTGTGGAGGCATGGTTTCAAGCTGTGATACAACACATGAGAGAGCAGGCAAGCAATCCACAAACCTACTCCTGCTGTAACCAACCCATCTCCTTGATGAGAACATTAATCCATTCAGGAGGTTCTGCCCCAGTAACCTACTCATCTCTTGAAGTTCCCGTCTCTTCATGCTATAGCAACAATCAACTTTCAACAGGAGTTGGAAGGGGGGGACCTTTGAACCATATCACCTATGGACAAGTCATCCCAAATATGTGTTGGATATATATATTTTTGAGAGCGTGAACCGAGTAAATGACTCAGAGTTAACATTTACCCAGCAGTAATGATTCTTTGAACTTCTATTTTGGAAGGACTTTTAGTTTAAAACATTTTTCAGAGGCAACCAATTAATAAAATCACTGTAAAAACACTGATATTCATTTAATTCAAACCCAACTATTGAAACGCTATACTATAAACAAAATTAAAACTCAAGAGCAATGTAGAAGATTGTCCAACTGACAAAATCAATATTTTTCAATAATATCAGAGGTTGCTGTAATATTGAACAAATACAGCACACCTTCTAAATGGTGAAATCCTAATATTTTCTTTATAAAAGTCCGACATTCCAAGGGAGTCAGTTCACAAGGTGGGTACTTTAAAAACACAGGCTTGTACTGGGACCACAAGGTTCCTGAGTAGACTTAGTTCAACATGTACCTGGAGTGCCAGAGCCATGACTCTCCAAAGGATTGCTATTGGAGCTCAGCATCCCCTCACTGTTGTTTCCAGAAACGTCTTTTGTAAATGGAAAATAGATTGATGAAATCTTAGGCATAAATAAATGTTACTGTATATAATAATAAATTAAAATGCTGTCATTTACAAAGAAAGGTTTACTGGCTCGCTGTGCCATTTCTTCTAGTAATCCAATGCCTGGTGTTTAATTTACAGAATCAAATGCAGAAGCCAGTTATTTAGTTCCTAGTGTGGTAAAATTGGTTGTCGTAGCTATGTTTTGGGAGGCGACCAGACTGACAACCAAAGACTTAAGATGTAGATGTCCTATCTGTGTTGTTCCCCCACTTCCAAATGCAATGAAGTGTTCAAAATAGGAGAAGGCATCTTGGTATTGTATGAATGGAGCTGTGTGAATGAAGATTAATAGCCAGATCATAATTCACATTCACTCTTCTAAAAGGATATCATACATATAAAGTCTTACTAGTATTTATGGGATGGGCATTTACCAGAACAGCTCTTAAAGGCTGTGTAATAAAATTGCATTAAAGCTGCCTAAATTAATTAACCATCATAGATACTGGAATGGATTCAGCTAATGGCTGTGCTTCCCAGAGAGTGCCCTCTTTGAATAATAGCAACAAAAATATAAAGAAAGTAATTACAGTTTTCCTCCTCTTTTTACAGACATCTAGCTACCTGCAGGCCAGGTTGAGGAGAGAGACTGTCCACACTCCAGTGACCGCAGGAAGGGAGAGCTCGCCGGCTGGTCACACACCCTAGCTTCTCCTTTCCAAGGGCAAATGGGCTGCGTCAACAGCTGACACATCCGCTGCCTTCAGAACAGAAAACCAGTCTAGAGTTTCAGGCTTATCTCCTGCATTGCATTCCCAGATGGGTAGGCTTTGCCAGACCCTTGAAAGGCCTCTTACTGAGGGAGAGGTGAAGATCCCAAAGCACTGGGGACCTGGGAGGGGATTTGTGTTTGGCATGGGGCAGGATCTGGCTCAGCTGCTTGCCATTGCTGGCTGACTCTGGAGATGAAACAAGGGCAGAAGGAGAGGACATCAAGGTCATTTGGTCTACCTCAAGTGGGCAGGCAGAATAGCATCTGTACACAGTTGAACCCTTTAGGTGTCTTGGGAGGCAGTTACTAGTTACACAAAGTCATATTAAGAAACTGGGCAGATCTAGGCAGTGGACCCATAAGTCATGGTTATTCAACTTGCTGTTCCATCAGAGCAGCCCCCTGGCCTTCTCACATGCCCTAACTGGTCACTGTCTAGCTCACTAGCAGTGCCAGCAGAGGGCAGCCGGGGAAAGGAAAGAAGTCCAAGAGTCGAAGAGCTCCAGTCTTCTGAACAAGTTAAGGCAAATTTCCTGGGTTACTTAGAGCAACAGAGGTCTCCCCAATAGTCCCCTACTCCACCCATGCACGTCTGTATTAGTATTTCTAGTTCTTAACTCTTCTCACTCAAAGAATGAACAGGATGGTTTAGAAAACACACACACACACACACACACACACACATACGCATGCGCGTGTGTGCACGTGCGCGTGGGGAGGGGGGTCTATAAAGCCATTATAGCTATCTCTTGCCACGTCATGGGATGGGGGAGTTTTAGATGTTAAAGCTGACGATGGTATTACCAGGTTAAAAGCATAATCTTCCCTCCAGACTTTTAGGTTGTGCTTTATTAAAAATATCTGGAGGAGGGATGTTGAGATAGTTTAGCAGCTAAGAGGCTTGCCAAGAAAGCCTGGTAATCTGAGTTCAATCCCCAGAATCCGTGTAAAGAGGAAGGAGAGAACCAACTATACAAAGTTGTTCTCTGGCCTCCACATCTGTGCTGTGGCATGCTTACATGTGTACACACACACACACACACACACACATGCACACACACACACCACAGTAATTATAAATCCTTTAAAATTCAGAAGGAATATTATTTCAACTGTACTGGAAATGACAGTAATAATAAATCCTTTAAAATTCAGAAGGAATATTATTTCAACTGTACTGGAAATGTACAGACATTTTTCTTATCACTGTTCCCTAAACAGTACATAACAAATATGTATGAGATGGTGTTAATATGCAACTGCTATACCATCTCACACAAGAGACTTGAGAATCCTCAAGGTTGGGCACCCCAGGGGGGTCCTGGAACCCATCTCCAGAGGGCTCAGAAGGGCAGCTGTGTGAATTGAAGTGAGCAGTTAGTGCAGAAAAGTGAGACTCACCCAGGGGACAAATGTAATATTTGAAAATTTCCAGAACATGTGTCAGTGGCAGGTCAGAAAGAGGACTTGCCTGTGCCCAGGTAGACTCTGGCAGATGGATAGATATAGGAAGGGTCTCCCTGGCTCAGTACCAGACCTTTGTGGCAGTCAGTTGGAGTACAGGAGCTGGGCAATTCAGGATTGGCTGGCATTCCAAGGGGGAAAATATTCAGTATCTTTCCATCTCATTCATTAAGGTCTGTGTGACAACGTCATGAGCAATCTACTGCCGGGAGGTCTTCATCAGATAAACAGGGCTGCAAAATTCAGGGCCAAGGAATGTGGGCTGGAGAGGCACTCCCAGCGCCAGCTGCTACCTGAACACCCTGCGCTGGCGGGGACCCAGGGGGACAAGCTCAAACCAGGATCCTCAGCGACCAAAGGCAACAGCGAAGCACTTAATCCTGAAATAAAGAGTAATTGCTTCTGGCTTCAAGAATAAAGGAAAAACAGGATCAGCCTTGGCTAAATTAGCCTTTTTTTTCTTTTTTCAAAACAACCATGCTGAAGACCAGATTCTGAAACCTTGCTTGGTATTTGAAAATATGAGAAAATGAATGTTTTCTATCAATATCATTTAAATCCACCCAGGGGTATCAATGCAGAAGAACACTTGAGTAAAAGTACATTTTGATTAATATGATTAAATCGGATAGGTTTACCTTTAGCTGTAAGGAATGGCATCTCAAGGGTAACTTTGCCTGAATATAATTTTAGAATACCTGTCTGAAAAATACCTCTTTGGTTTTAAATTTGCAGCATTTCCCACTGAAAAGCCTTGAGCAAAGGCACCAGAACCTTCCTTTCAGTACAGATGAAGTTGCAACTGAGAAATGGGGGAGGGGGCGGCGGGATGGATGGGAAAGACACTGTTCTAGTATATTCTTGTGATAGAATTGTGCTCTCTGCAGAAAAAAAAGAATTCATAAAAATCCATACAGGAAGAGCTACAGGTTTAAATGATTGTTCCAAGGAACTGAAGATGACTTTAACCTGCAATCAAATAACTAATATTTCTATTTTTATTTATCTCTCAAGGGGCTATAGATGGCCAATGCCAGATGGTCTATGTACAATATCCGTTTTACTTAATCAAGGGACCAAGGGTGTTGATTAAAAACAGAGCAAGAGAAAGAGAAAAACAAGTCTCCCCTTTCAAGTTCCAATTTTTAAATGATATATGTTCATTTAGAATTTCTGTAACAGCCTCATAATGACATAGAAAGAACTAACTAAAATACATCTTATCCTCTCAAATCAAAGTTGCTTTGCATCCTATTGAGTCAAGGCAAATCAAACTCTACACAAAATAGCAGTTTCATGTGGTTTAATTTAATACCTTAAGCCCCCATAGGAATATCGCCAATTCTAACCAGCAAGAAATAAAACCCAGCAAAGATTAACATTATAAAACGAATGCAACACATACCTTCTTCTTTCAGGTGCTAATGTAGAAGACATTCCACATAAAAGAACAAAGCCTAATTAGAGGTATTGCTCACCCATTGTGTTTTCTGCCATAATTCAAAACAGAGAAAAGAGATCCTTGTACTACAAGTTAATTGATGAATGATGATTTAACCCAAGAGAACAGACTTGGGACTCTGACAACTGCCTGTCATTTCCCACAAACCCAGACCATTGAAGGGTGAAAGGCCAGCCACTGACCAACAGCTTGACACACAACTGTCAAGAAGATGAGATGTTATTTAAATGAAAATTGTCAGACAGCCCTGGAGGTTTTAAAACAGAAAACAAACCCAGCCATAAACTAATCTTAAGAAGGCCAAGAATGGTACTGTGCTTTGCTAGTGTGGAGCCCTCTGCCAGGGAGCCCCAAAGCCACAGCATTTCCAAAGATGCAGGACACCAGTATTACTAACACTAAAAAGAAGGAAAAGGGAGGGGGGAGAAGGAGGGAGAGAGGGAGGGAGGAAAAAAAGAAAAGGGCAATCCTTCCCACTCCAGTGCTCTCCTAACTCTGCTCAGAAAGGATGCTATTAAGATGGACTCTGGCTGGTGAGCTGGCTCAGTGGGTCAGGTGCTTACAGTCAAGTCTGATGACCTGAGTTCAACCCTGGGATCCACATGGTGGAAAGAGAGAACAGACTCTTGCAAGTTATCCTCTGACCTTCACACATGTGGCATGTCACGTGCATGCCTCCATACATGCATAAAATAATTTTTTAAAATCTTTAATTTTTTTAAAAGATGGTCCCGACTGTCTTTTTCATATGGAGCATGAGTCACGTTAACAAGGTTTTCGTCTTCATTCTACTTTCATTTTCAAATTCATTTCTCATATTTTTCTTTTTGGTCTTTTTGAGATAGGGTCTCCCTGAAGCCCCAGCTGGCCTGGAACTCGCTATATAGACCAGGCTGGCCTTGAACTCATAGAGATCCACCTGCCTCTGCCTCCTGAGTGCTGGGATTAAAGGTGTGCACCACCATGCCCAGCTGATATTTTCTATTTTTATAAAATACAAAAATACCTGGGGGCTCAGAATGTAGCCCAGTGGCCGGGTGTTTGACCCGAGTGTTTAGAGAGCTGGATTTGATGTGACCACAGGGAAACAACAATGGGACAATGGGAAAGTACAGCAAGACCATGTCTACAAGATTGAGTCATTGCACACAGGTGATTGGGAAGCACATATTTGTGGTAAGATGCGGACTATAATTTCAACTCAAATATGACACTGATTTAAGATAATCCCAGTTTTCTACATGAAAAATTTAAAAAGTAACATGATTAACAATCAGAGTACCATGAAAACAAGCAAATCTCTTCTGCTCCAGATATTGCATTTATTTTTATTTTATGTATATGAGTGTTTTGCTTGCATATGTGTAAGTGCGCTCATGCATACAATGCTGGTGGTCAGAAGAGGTTGTTGGATCCCCTGGAACTAGAGTTGTGGATGGTTGTTAGTCACCATGTGGGTGCTGGGAACTGAACCTGGGTCCTCTGCAAGAGTAACCAGTGCCCTTAACCACCAAGCCATCTCTCCAGCCCCAACTCCAGATTTTTATTATATTTTATTTATTTTATGTGAGGGGCTGGGGAGGTTCATGTGTAGGTCAGATAACTTGTGGGAATCAGTTTTCTCTTTCCATCATGTAGGTCCTGGAATTGAGTTCAGATCATCAGGCATGGTGGCAGGTACCTTTACCCACTGAGCCATCTTGCCAGCCCCTGCTCCAGAGATTCTGAATAAAGACCCATTCTTCGGCATTTCAACATGCTTTTTGGATCTATTGCTAGACAATGAACAATTCTAATATAGTTTTCAGCATCTCCCTGGGTGGACTAACTTCTAAAGGCCTTACACTTTTTTTCTAAAAACAAGGATCTCTTCAAGTAGCACGTCTACAAAAGAGATGCTGAATGAGAGTTTTTGGAGGTGGGGGCTTAGAAGGAATCTTCCTATGTAGCCAAGGCTAATCTCAAACTCATTCCATAGGTAAGGCTGGTTTTGAGTTAGTGGTAATCCTCCTGTATCAGCCTCCTGAGTGTTACGATTACAGACATGAGATAGCACGTCCAAATTTTGTACTATGAGATTTTAAAATACAGGTATCAGTGTTTTTGTTCTTCCTGGCCCCTTGCCACTGTTTCCCTTCTTCTCTGACTTCCTGCTCACCTCTGTCCCAGTGTAAATTTTAGAGAAATTCTAGTGACAGGACATTGAGACTGTATGCTGTAACAATGACTTCCCTGAAGGATTGCCTCTCTCAGCCCACCAGGAAGGGGATCTAAAGGACATAGCATAGTATGTTTGGGAAGTACAGTAGCCAGAGAGGAAGCATGAAGCTTCCAGAATTTCTCCAATAGCAACTCCCTTCAATTTCTTTAAAATAAAATAGAATATTTAAAGTAAATATGGTGTCAGGCATGGTGACATGTGCCTTTAATTCCAGCATGCAGGAGGCAGAGGCAGGCAGATCTCCATGAGTGTGAGGCCATCCTGGTCTACATACTGAGCTCTAGGCCAGCCGGAACCACATAGTAAGATCCTGTCTCAATTTTTTTTAGAGTAGAAATGATAAAACTGTGGTGAGACTCCTACATAGAGGTACAACCACAGTGCCAACATCTGAAAAAGTTAGGGGAGAGGAAGTCTAATTTTGTAAATTTTTACACAAGTTGTGATAGACTATGAAGTCATAGTAGACTGTGCAGAGCTAAGGATGTCTTTTTCCATCCCTAGATCAACTATTCAAAAACCAAAACCAAAAAGGGACAAGAACTTGTGAGGGAGTAGAAGTGACATGAGCGGAATTGGAAGGGAACTGAGAGGGGCTGAAATAACAGATACAGTGATCACTTATGAAATTCTCAAAAAAGATTATATTTAAAAATTTTTTTAAGTGAAATAGGAGTTGGGGCTCTAAATTGGCAGTTAAGAGCTCTAGCAGCTCTTACAGAGGACCTGGGTTTGGTTTTCAGGAGAGAGGACCTGGGTTTGGCTTATCACCATCTGTAACTCCAGGGACTCTGATGCCCTCTTTTGCCCACTGTAGACAATGTGTGCATGCAGTCCATATACATACACGCAGATGAACACTCATACACATAAAATAAAAATAAATATCTAAAAGGTGCTAATACTTATCTTTAAATTTTATTTATTCTTATTTTATGTGTATGAGTGTTATGCCTGCATGTGTGTAAGTGCACCTGTGTTGTTCAGGGCCTGTGGAGAACAGAAGAGGGTGTTGGATCCCCTGGAACTGGAGTTATAGATGGTTGTTAGCTGCCATGTGGATGTGGGATTAGAACCCAGGTCTTCTGCAAGAAGAGTAAGTGCTCTTAACCACTGAGCCATCTCTCCAGCCCCCAAAAGTGCTAATATTTAAAATAAAATAAAATAAGAGAGATACAGTTTTTAAACCAATATAGGGGTTAAAATTGATGTATTACTAATATTTAAAATACATCTTTTGGGGACTGGAGAGATGATTCAGTAGTTAAGAGCACTGGCTGCTCTTGCAGAAGATCCAGGTTTGAGTCCCAGCACCCACATAGCAGTTAAGAACCATCCGTAACTCCAGTTCCAGGGGAATCCAATGCCTTCTTCTGACCTCCGTGGACATTGTATGACATGGATACACTTAAACACATGCAGGAAAACCACTCATACACATAAAATAAATTATTTAATTAATTAAAAATATGTATCTTTTATTCTTTGAAAGTTCCATACAGTTATATGATGTATTGATCATATCGATCTACCACTACCTCCCTTCAACCTCCTCTAGTGCCCCAACCCCATCCCCCTCCCAGCCTTATGTCCTCTTTTTATTCTTATGTTGTTTTTACTATTAATAGCCCCCTGAGTCCAAGCAATGTTGCTCATATGTACATGGGTGTGTACTGCTCATACGCACATGCATGTGTGGCCATCCAACTGGGGCATGAGCAACCTAGCAGTGACCACACCACCAAAGAAGAGTGACCCTCCCTCCT